ACATTGCTTATCTGTTCTTGATTTAATTTTGGCAGGTGATATCTATCCAGGAAGTCTTCCATTTCATTTAAATTTTAGAATTTTGTGGAGTACAGGTTTTCAAAGTATGACCTGATGATTCTCTGGATTTTCTCAGTGTCTGTTGTTATGTCCCCCTTTTCATTTCTGATTTTATTAATTTGCATGTTCACATTTGGCTGTTTGCTGAGCTTGGATTGGCTTGTCTACTATCTTGTTGATTTTCTCAAAGAACCAACTCTTTGTTGCATTGATTCTTTGTATTATTTTCCTAGTTTCTGCTTTATTGATTTCAGCTCTCAATTTGATTATTTCCTAGTGTCTACTCCTCCTGGGTGGGTTTGCTTCTTTGCGTTCTAGAGCTTTCAGCTGTGCTCTTAATTCTCTAGTGTAACTATTCTCCAGTTTCTTCATGTGGGCACTTAGTGCTATGAACTTTCCTCTTAACACTGCTTTCAAAGTGTCCCATAAGTTTGGATATGTTGTGTCTTCATTCTCATTGAATTCTAGGAAGTCTTTAATTTCTTTTTTTATTTCTTCTTTGACCCAGGAGTGGTGTAAATAGCACATTATTCAATTTCCACGAGTTTGTAGGGTTCCTGCAGTTTGTGTTGTTGTTGAACTCTAATTTTAAAACATGGTGGTCTGATAAGATACATAGAGTTATTCCAATTTTTTGTACCTGTTAAGGTTTGCTATGTTGCCAAGTATGTGGTCAATTTTTGAGAAGGTTCCATGTGGTGCTGAGAAGAAGGTATATTCTTTTGTGTTTGGATGGAATGTTCTGTAGATGTCTGTCAAACCCAATTGGGTCATAACTTCTATTAGTTCCTTTGTTTCTTTGTTCAGTTTCTGTCCTGTCCTGTCTAGTGGTGACAGTGGGGTGTTGAAGTCTCCCACTGTAAGTGTGTGAGGTTTTATGTGTGGTTTGAGTTTTAGTAATGTTTCTTTTACGAATGTGGATGCCTTTGTATTTAGGGCATAGATGTTCAGAATTGAGGCTTCATCCTGGTGGATTTTCCCTGTGATAAATATGAAATGATCTCCATATCTTTTGATTTATTTCAGTTTAAAGTCTAGTTTGTTAGATATTAGGATTGCTACCCCTGCTTGTTTTTTGGGACCATTTGATTGGAAAATCTTTTCCCAACCCTTAATTCTGATGTGTTCTTGGATCTGTGGTCTCTTAGTGTTGGTAGAACATCTATCCAGGACCTTCTGGCTTTCAGAGTTTCCATGGAGAAGTCATGCGTGATTCTGATAGGTTTGCCTTTATATGTTATTTGCCCTTGTTCCTTAGCTGCTCTAAGTATTCTTTGATTATTCTATATGCTTGGGGTCTTGATTATTATGTGGCAAGGGGACTTTTTTTTGGTGATCCACTCTATTTGGTGTTCTGTAAGCTTCTTGTACCTTCACTGGCATGTCTTTCTTTAGGTTGGGAAAGTTTTATTCTATGATTTTGTTGAATATGTTTTCTGTCCCTTTGAGTTGGATTTTTTCACCTTCTTCTATACCTATTATTCTTAGGTTTGGTCTTTTCACGGTGTCCTATATTTCCTGGATATTTTGTGTTAGGGATTTGTTGGACTTAAGATTTTCTTTGATTGATGAATCTATTTCTCCTAGTGTGTCTTCAACACCTGAGATTCTCTCTTCCATGGCTTGTATTGTTGGTTATGTTTGCATCTGTAATACCTGACCATTTCCCCAGTTTTTCTATTTCCAGCATTCCTTCAGACTGTGTTTTTTATTGTCTTCATGTCAGCTCTCAACCCTTGCACTATTTGAATTGTTTCTTGTAATTTTTGCTTCGTGTTTTCCTCCATTTCTTGCATCTGTTAGATTTTTTTGGTTTGTTTTTTTTCTATTTCTTGCATTTTTTGGTTATTTTTTTCTTCCATGTCTTTAAGGGATTTTCTCATATCCTCTTCGAGAGCCTCTATCATTTTCATGAAGGTATTTTTAAGGTTATTCCCTTCTGCTTCATCCTCATTGGGGTGTTCAGATCTTACTGGTGTAGAATCTCTAGACTCTGGTGGTGTCATATTTGTTTTTCTGTTGCTGAGTGGGTTCTTATATTGCCTCGTCCCCATCACTTCTTCCAGTGGGTGTAGAAAGAGCCTCATCCTCTCCTGGTGTATGGGTGACCAGGGTTCCCTTTTGGTGGGTGTAACCAAATCCAATATTCTCTGGCCTCTGCTGTCTGTCTTCTGCCCTCTGCCCTGAGTGTGGGCAGAAGTGGACCAGCTCTCTTCTCAAGCTCCTGGTCACTTCTCAGGCCCCTGGTCACTTGGTTGTCCTGGGGGGGAGTTGACCTAGCTGTAGTCCCCAAGCCAGGGGATCCTCTGCTCTTTGCCCTGGGTTTGGGAAGAAATGGACCAGCTCTCTCTGCAGGCTCCTGGTCACTTGGCCATCTGTCTGGGATGGAGTCAACCTGGCTGCTGTCCCCAAGCCAGGGGATCTGAAAGAGGGCTAGCAGGAGGAAATCTGGCCTAAGATGAAGACCCAGTGCTATCACCTCAGCTCTCTGCCCTGAGTGTGGGCCCCATTTAAATCTTTTTTAAACCAGGAAAGCACTCTGTAAATGCAAGGTCACTGAGATGTATTCATGACCTAACTTTTCTATGTGCTACAGTCAGTCCTGCGTGTGCCTCCTTTGGCGTTTCATAGTGGTATTCCTTCAGCCTGACTAGTGCTTTCTCACGCTTCTCCTGAGTTCTTACTCTTTCTCTAGATCTCAGCTAAAACGATCCTTCCCCTCAGAAGCCAGCCCTGACCATCAGCCGCAGCGCCCTGGTTTCCCCACCACCAGTTTCATTACTGTGTCTTCCTTGTCCTGTGTCCTTTCTCATTCCCAGACAGTCTCTAAGAGCTTCTTGTGCCACCCTGTGTCCTCAGTATCTAAATCATACAATACAGCTTCAGCATCCTTCTTAGCACAATGATCCTTGTGTCAACTACGAGTGGTACCCAGCGAGAGCTTTGTTTTCTTAGTGTCCCTTTGTTAGACTTCAAAGACCTCAAAGCACGGAGAGCAGCACAGAACACTTAATTCTCAGAGAAGTGATATTATGCAAGAACTTTCCTCAAGAGAAAAGCAAGAAAGCCCTTAGCCTCAGGGTGGGGGTGGGGTGGGGAGATATAAGAAGATCATGGGAAGGAAAGAAAGGTTGTGGAGTTCTGGATACCAAGCTGTTAATTTCCACGAAACACGTGCTGTTAAGGGGCCTGGGATATCATCTCCAGTGTTAGCTAGGGTTTCTAATGCCCTGAAGAGACACCATGACTGCAGCAACTCTTATGAAGGAAAACATTTAATTGGGTGGCTTACAGTTTCAGAGGTTTAGTTTCTTATCATTGTGGCAGGATACTGTGGCATGCAGGCAGCCATGGTGCTGGAGAAAGACCTGAGAGTTCTACATCTTGCACAGGCAACAAGAAGTAAGCTATGATATTGGGCATGGCTTGAGCATATATGAGATCTCAAAGCTCACCTCTACAGTGACACACTTCCTCCAACAAAGCCATACCTCCTAGTAGCACTATTCCCTGTGAGCTTATAGCTTCTAATCACATTCAAACTGCCACGCCTCCCCATGTCCTTTGAAATGTCATCCTGTGCTCTCATTACTAACAGAGCACTGTACTAAATGGCTTCCCTATAGAGACTGGGGGATGATCCCGACTGCCATGAGTTCAGTATTCAGGTACTGTGCATGAATGGTATGACCTTTTCAGGCATAAAATGATGTCGTATGAAAAGGCTGTGGAAAGTAGGGCTGGAGGTATAGCTCATTGGTAGAGTCTTTGCCTACTATGCACAACACTCTCAGTCAAGTCCCAGTACCATAAAACCAGGCAAGGTAATTGTGGTGGTTTGAATGAAAAGGACCACCATAGGCTCCTAGGGAGTGGAACTATTAGGAGATGTGGTCTTGTTGGAGTAGGTATGACCTTGTTGAAGTAAGTCACTGGGAGTGAGCTTTGAGGTTTCAGATGCTTAAGCCAGGCCCAGTGACAATCCAGATGTAGAATTCTCAGCTCCTTCTCCAGCACCATGTATGCCTGTGGGCTACCATGCTTCCTGCCACGATGATAATGAACTAAATCTCCGAACTTGTTAGCCAACCCCAATTAAATGCTTTCCTTATAGGGGTTGCCGTGGTAATGGTGTTTCTTCACAGCAATAGAAACCCTAACTAAGACAGTGAGTGATACACTTCTATAATTCAATCACATGGGAAGTAGAGACTGGAAGATCAAAAGTAAAGGTCATGGGGTTATTCTCAGCCAGACAGAGGCCAACATGAACTATGTAAGACCTTGTCTCAGAATAAACAAATAAGCAAAGGAAGAAAAGAAGCTGTGGAGGGGACCTGGGCATCCTCAAGTACCAGATAGGAAGAAGGACATATGCATGTATTGATGGCAGACCATTAGGCAGCATTACAAAGAGTGAAGCTCATCAGGCGATTGGATGATCAAATCAAGTCCAGTTAGTTACTTGATTCATTTCCCATGTTCTTCAGGTCTCTGGCCACTGCCCTCTAGGTGCTCATGCCTGAGGCCTAAGATGATGTAGGATAGCAGCATCTGACTCCACCCATCAAATGCCTTTTTATATGGAGTACATATGGATGCCTTGGACCACTCATTCATTCAAATATTCTAATTGCAGATGAAACCGAAATCAATATATTCTTAGAAACACATGATTATGTGCTTGGCAATAATTACTTTTCCTGAGGGGAGAACAAGGAAGTTGTGGCTTGCTCTGTGTATGTGTGTGTCCTCTGAATATGAGCTTTTCATGAGAATTAAAATCAAACAGTAAGAACTCTTTCCTTCTAGAAAATTAAAGATAGGTTAGATCACCAACTAAACCAACAAAAGTACTGATTTAATTGTATACTTTTATGGAATGGTCGTTTGGGCCCCCAATGGCAAGTTTCAGTCAACCCTTTCTATACAATTCTTACCTGGTAATGTAGGCAAGATTGCAAGCACCCAGCAAGGCAAGTCCTAGCTTCTTCGATGGATAGTGGTGTGGTCTGAGAATGGTTTCCACCAGTACAAAGAGCAGTATGTAGGTATGCTATAGAAGAAAATGAGAGAAACTAAGATAGAGCTCCCCAGCGTCTCACAGTGTAAATATTCCCTTGTCCCTTTCCAGTCTGTCCACTGTACACTTCCAGGCTGACCTTGGCAACCCTTGAGTTACAGCACTCTCCTCGGGTGCCCAAGGCCCATCTGCGGCTTCCGGTTACTGCTATGTCAGTCTTCTGTGTGGGTTCTAAGGCTCTGTGGCATGTGCTACCATCCTCTCTGGCCTTGCGTGTGCGCGCGCACACACACACACACACACACACACACACACACACACACGCACACGCACACACGCACGCACACTTTCCCTTATGTATACACCCACAAAGACCTTCTTTTCCTACTTGGACAGGGCAGTGACCCACAGAGTCCTTTGTACTCTGCATGCTGTTCTCAATCCAGAAGCCTCATTGGGCTTCCTCTCCATAAGCAGACAGTGTCTTTTCCCTCTGTCTGCGTGCGCAGATCCTCTATGCTCCTGACAACTAATACAATCTTCTATGGTGCTCTCTGTGAATTTTCCCTCTTGCTAATTTCTCTTGGTTTGCAGCCCTTAGACCTGGTGCCATGTAGTCTCGTACTGATGTTGTGTATCCATAAGCGTGGCTTGTGGGGCAGAAAACACCTCCCACATTCTCTGTGTTCCTCCACTACAGTCTACCTGGGGGATGGTAGGTGCTGTTGAGTATACATAAGGCTCCTTCTGAAACCCCCTAAGCCCATCTTCTTCCCCGTGTCCTCCTTCTTTATAACCATCTGCTTAGTCATATCTTTCAGATACTTAAAACTCCATTAACAAAATATAGTCAAGGAAGTGCACCTTTAGGGATGAGGTTGTTGGTAAAACCTGCCAGGGCTGTTCCCTTCTGGATTTTGGAAGCTGATCTAGGTTGGGTCCCTGAGGGTCTATACACAATGCTCCCTTCATTACTGAAGACATTACAGAGCCGTCTGTCACTTTGTACCCTGGTATACACAATTCTTTGCAACCCCTTGCAGGCAAAGCCTCCTGAAGCTGAGTCTGGGTGGTTGTCAGCAACCATTATGGAATCCTCAGGGCTTGGGAGGATCTGTGTGTTCCTACCTAGCCTATGGGGCTGGAGCTCAGAACCCTGGCTCAAAGCATTCTGTGTTGTCAGTCCCATAAGACTTGTGCTCAGGAGGAGTCCCTAAGAGTTGGAAGCTTCTTTTGTCCCTTGTAGCTTGGGCACAATCAGATCGAGATGAGCCTCAGGACACCAGTTTCTGACAAGTGGGACTGGGGTAATAAGGAGCAAATGTTAAGGATAGGGGTGAGGGCATCATTGGCTGGACTGTCCCAGCCAGGATCACAAGTGGGCAACACTGAACAGCCGAGCATCCTAAGGGTCTGGGATCCTGTGGTTTAGAATAGATAGAAATCACTTTTTTTGCAGTTTGTTTGAACCTGGTCCTGCATGTGCCGACTGGCTAGATGGAGGTACAATGGAGAAAGTTGCAGATTCTCTTTCATGCCCTGTACCTTTTTATGAGTTGGACTGCAGTTTGCTGCTTTTTGTGTTCCTCCAGTGAAGAAGCATGGCGTTTATGGGCATACCTTCCTCTGGGCTCGGGCTTTCCTGCTCACAAATGGGGACAATACATGGGCACTTTTGGTAAGCTCACGAGAATCACTAGCCCTAAGTCCTTGGAAGCCTCTGGTGACCACCTGCATTAGCTGTCGCTATCATTACTGTGAATTCCATCCTTGTTATAGGTGGGGTATTCATAGCATGGATGCTTCTGGCCTGTGCTTTGCAAGCTGCTACAGCATGCTTTCTAGTGGATGGGAGCAGAGCCATCTTGGGTCATCCTGGGGGATTCCCTCCCCTTCCCCCCACAGGTACCAAAGCTCCCAGATACAGCAGACTCTGATTCCTGATCATACGCAGTGACTGACCTCAGTGCTGTCTCTATCTAGAACCCCGACGGGAGCTAAGGGACAGAGCTGTCCGCCCTGCGCAGACACCTGTCTTTCTTCCTGCCTTTGCTCTGCATCAGTGGGAAGGAAGGATCCAGTTTCTATTAGGAGTCATTAACAGGTCCATTATGCTGGCCATTGAGCTGACAGATTTTATTAACCTCACCCACAACCAGAAGCTCCCTGTTGTCTGCACTAATGATCACTGGGAATGGAATTCCTGTGGAATAATGCAGTATCTTTGCATTAGGAGTAAATGAGTTCATGGTGATTAATGCTTTTACAACCAACAACTGGGGATGCATGACGGGCCACCTCTACTAGGTGCCTGCCCTTTGCTGGTGACATTCAATTGGATTTCCAAATAAGCTCTCCCTGATGGCTTCTGGGAAATTCACTTCCGTGATACCATTTGTGATGGTCCATAGACAGTGGCTTCTCACCAGTGAAGAGGTCTTTTAAAGTATCACATTTTCTCACAGGGCCTTGGGGTAAGCAGGAGCGAGGCAGAAATACTGAATCTACAGACTTTGTAAATACTGAGCTACTGAGCAGAGCCAAGCATGATGCAATAAACCTCTTGATGTCTCAAAAGTATCTGTGTTTCACCTCACACTGACATGCCAGAGAGCACATATTTCAAAGGAAAACAATGGGGGGAAAGAGTTCAATAAGAGAAAAAAATCAAATATGCTTTCTGTCTCCAACAAAAATCTAATAATTAGGCTGGGATTGACACAAATTAGAACGCTGCCAAAAATTACTGAAAACAGTGACTCATTCTGTATTTCAATTAACAGTTTCTCAGTTTCCCTTATAAACCGTGAAGGTGACAAAAATTAATTATCTCAGAGGGGTAAAATATTTCCTTCTGAAGTAAACAAAACATCACAGGCTGAGACAATGGCATATGTAAACACAGTGGGTGGGTCGAAGCTATCGCTCCTAGTCCATGAAGTTGTCATTTGGGTGGATTCTCCTTTCAATGTGTCTTTCTAACCATGGGGAGAGTGCTGCTGTCCCTTTTGTCCTTCCTGGATATTCCTTCTCTCCTATCCTTTCTGGAATGCCAGCTCCCATTAGCATCACACGGGAAATATTAATTTAGGTATTAGTCAATAACTGCACTTTAGATTCTCTGGGGCTGTGAATAATGACCATAGAGCATTCTTACGAGTTTGCAAGAGTGGCAATTGGAAAACCAGTGATGATGATTTGTGCTTGCATTTCTATTCGTCTCCTCCTTGAAGAATAACAGCTGTTAGGATGGCCTGATTCCTAATGAACTAAACTACAATGGGTACCTTCTCTGCCTGACTCTCAAGAAGCAGTCCTCAGGCAGTGAAGTAACTATTGGAGCCTGGAGGCATCTTGGGTTTTGTTTGTTTTGGTTTTGGTCTTACTCTGCAGTTTGGGACCTGCCTTCCACTACTGGGGCTTTAGCCTGCTCATAGTCAGAGGTCCCAAAGACTGCACATACAGCACAGACAGCCACCTCAGACTCTGGAGGTGGGATGATGGTTGGGGGAGAACGTTTAATTTGCTCTAATGAAAAAATACTGGGGAGACTACCTATTTTAAAAATCAGATGGGCTTTGCTTCTTTTCTCTATTTCATTTCCTTGCTGGAATCGACCTTGCGTTGAGCTCACTTTATCAGGACTGATAAAAAACAGAGCCAACTTTTGTGCTCAAAGAGCAGCCATCGGGAAGTTTCTCCTTTAGATGCCCTTTCTTTACCCCAGCTGATGACCCACTGCTGTTTCATGCAGGCTTCGGTGCTCTAATCTCCTCTGTCAAGATAGTGCTTGTATCTAAGAATCAACTCCTCATGTTGACTTTTCGCAAACATCAAAGCATGCCAGTGAGCGAGCTTCTGCATTAGGCTAGATGATGGGGAAGACCCACTCCAAATGTGGGAGGCACCATTCCATGGACTAAAGTCTTACACTGAATAAAACCGAAAATGGAGCTTAACACTCACACTGTTGCTCTCTTTCCTGACTGAATCTGATGTGACTCAAGTTCTTGCCACCAAGGCCAATGCGCTGTCTGTCCCTCCACTGTGACCCAAAAGGAACCCTTCCTTCCTAGGTGGCTCTTGTCATGTATTTGGTTATAGCAATGAGAAAAGTGGCTAATGCAACATCCTCATGGTGCTAATGAGTGGATGTTTTCAAATGACCTTTAGTGTGCTACTAAGACCTCACTCCAGGACACATAAAGATGGATCTCATGATAAACCAGACACACCAAAGCAAAATGAACCTGCATAAAAGCTCCTTGGGGACAAACATAACAAAAACATCAATTGAAATTTAGATGGAAATGCAAGAGGTGGAGGAAAGGAGGCCAAGCAAACCTTATTGAAGTATTGTTACTCCTAGGTTTGTCACACGGCTCATGATTATGCCCCTGTCCATTTCCATTCAGTGACAGCTGCTAGGTTAATCCTATTTGGGCAGAGCCTGGTTTGTTTTGACCCTCTTCTTCCCCAACCTGGCTGACTCTGCCTCACACCCCCACCGGACAACAGTGGAAGTCCTGGATGTGCATCTGGGAGTGTTTTATAGTCCCAAACTGAAGCCATCGGTGTGTAGACTTCCTCCCATTATCAACAAGGTGCAGCTTTTCTTGAAGTAAATCTGGTAGGGTAAACCAGAAGTGTACACACAGGTCATTTGGTTTTTACCTCTAGGGGATCTTGGCTTTTAACTCTTGTGCCTCTACTGTCTTTGAGACTCTTCTCCAACCTCAGTGTTACAATTTTAAAAGAGGACTGTACTTATAAAACAAAACTCTCTTCTGCTTTCTAGGAATTCACTGGCAGGACTCCATTGTAATTACAGAGTCAACGTGAAATTGCCTTGGGCAAGGGGTGGAGGATGGAGGGACATAAACGGCCCACAGAGAGACTACAAGCTCTGGGTTTATCTTCACTATCCACCTAGGTAGGCTGACACAGGGTGCCCACCTGCAAAGAAGTTAAAAACCAGCTATCTCATGAGGAAGCATCTTCACCGTTTTCCCATTTTACTCTAAAATGTACCT